AACCACTTTTAAGAGTTTCTGTTAATATCATAATTAGAAAGCTTACGCAACATCTCATAAAGAGCTTTCACCACAAGTTCTAAACGACTACCTTTCGAAATTCATCTTTAGCCTAGGAAAAAAAGATAGCTCTGACTATGAACCCACAAGGTTAAGAGGATTTCTTTCAAGCATCCAGAGATATCTGATCAATGAAAGCGATGAAAGCCAGGAGTAAGCTTTAATAGAATGGTATGTTCCTTGTTAATGTTAGTCAATTTTTTGTGCCCTAAGTTTAAACCAACGGTCTACATGTTCATACATTTTCTATTTACATAGACTTTGTTTCCGATTGATACAACTGACTGTAAGCTATTGTAGTCAATTTCTAACCTTAAGGTTTAAAATAAAGAATAAAGCGTCTTTTGTTTTAGTGTGAGGATTTTATATAATAAAAAGAAAATTACATGGTCGCTTGGAGCCACGAAATTTCAACACTCGAAGAGAAATTTCGTATCTCCGCGCGGCCACGTAATATGCTCTCTCTCATGAATGTGAAATTTTGGAATTTCTATGTTCTACATGGTATGAAATATGGAAATTTCGTTATTGCGAATGTTTAATATTAGAATTTCCATGTGCTGGATAATATCAAATAAGGAAATTGAATTAAATTAAATTTAAAACTTTTACATTCTTGGAAATTGTCAAATAACAAAATTTCTATACTTTGCATTATGTCAAATACTGAAATTACCTCATTATCAATGTAAAATATTAAAATTTCTACACTCTGTCTGATGTCAATTATAAATAAGAGCAAAAGCAAAACAAAACAAAGCAAAAACAACGGTTCGACATACCTACATGTACGTAATGTATTAGCTTTTTTAAAAAATTATAATTTATCTCCTAGGATATTTCCCTAGAATCTAACGTGAATCACGGAAATTAAATCTGAAAATCCTTGGGAGCTATAACTTTCAAATTTCCTCAGATTTAAGAAAAGCTTTTAAATATTCATTTATACCTAGTTTGTCAGTGAAGTTCGCTTATTCTATTCTTTTCCGAAAATAACTAACTTTCAATATTCTCTCTTTTGCCTATAAAATGATCGAGTTGCTATAATGTCAGTAATGACAGATATTAGAACGCATGTTTACCTAGTGAATAGATTTTATATTTCGAGTTAAAACACATAATATGAAGAAATAAAAAGCATTTTAACAACTTTATATATAAAAAAACGAAGCCCTGTCGAGGAGAACCCAGGGGCTGAGACTGTCAATAAAACAAATAATTATTTAGGGATATTATGTGGACCATTCAGATTGAATCTGTAAGCCCTACTTAAATCACTCCTTTGAAAGCAATTAGCCTTTAAAGATTAGACACGTTTTGACCATCTGCATGTACAGCTTTGCGCTCCGAATCTGGAAGTAACAGAGTCCTTTCAATAACGAACATTGTCGACGCATTAAAAGAGCCGAAAAAGAATAGAGCAGTAACGGAGATATTCAGTCCCAAACAGCAGCGATGAATTTCACTAATTCCTCAGCCACTAAGGATGTTGCTAGTTGTCGCGTGGCGAAAGAGCGGTATTTTTGGGAGTACATCCTCTCTACTTTGGCTGTTATCGCGCTGAATTTAGTATCATGCCCTATTATCATCTTGATGAATGCGTTAGTTATCATCGCCATAAAAGCAAGACGCCGGTTACAGTCCATCTACAACATACTACTGGCCTGTTTAGCGGGAACAGATCTGGCAGTCGGCTTAGTTTCACAACCATTATTCATCGCTCAAGAAATCTTCTTTCTCTCGGGTGCATCGATGGAGGATTACTGCCACTTTTTTAAGAACACCGTATTCGTTTGTCTTTTCCCATGTATTGAATCGTTGCTGATCTTAGCTTTACTAAGTATGGAGCGGTATATAGCCATGAAGTTCTCACTAAGATATGCTAGCCTCATAACCACACCTAGGTTAATTGGCGCTGTACTCTGTAGTTGGATTATCTCAGTTATTTCTGTAATTTTAAGGTTAATACCGGTAACATATTCATTTGCTGAAGTGTTCGTTTATGTAACTGTCATCCCAGCCATTGTAATTATTGTATTCTGTCATGCGACAGTTTATCTTGTTTCACGCCGACACATGCGTCGCATAAAAACAGAACAACTTCCAAGCGAAACGAAGACTAAATTCGTAGAGGAGAAGAAAGCCTTAAAAACTACAAGTATAATTATCGCGTTCGTGTTCCTTTCGTTTGTACCATCACTTTTGTACGGGATATTTTCCCGCGATATACGTTCTCGTTTTGTCGTGTATTTTCCTAAACTCGCTCCTTAATCCTGTTATTCACTGTTGGAGAAACAAAGGCCTACGCAAAGGTATGATGGAACTGCTTAAAATGAGACAAAATGAAAACTAACTTTAAAAGACGTCTATGTATGTTCAAGAGGATCTTCAACTCCATTATTTACCTTTTGCAAGCATCGACTTGTCTTTGTATTTATACTCATATGAGATGCTTTTTATTTTCATTTGTAAATTTACCATAACATTAATAATGTAACGTCGAGTCAGCACATAATAGTAGTGGTGTTCCAGCAGAATTAGCCGAATTTTGGAGGATCAAAAGTGGGGATCAAAATTTAATAAATGCGTCATGAACAAAATACGCGGGAAACTTGTTTTAATTAATTGATGCTAAAAATGTTCAGGCAACTGCTAGTAATGACGTCACAACACCATAAGGTCCATTTGACAGTTTAGCAAGCACGGTGGTCGATTGCTAGGGCTTTTCCTCCCATACCTCACCTCTCAAAACTGAGCGTTTTAGGCCATACACAAAAGTAGAATGCATCGAATGTGACGAAACTTGGCAGGGATGAAGGTTAATAAATTACCTGTTAATTGTTTTTTTTTCATCCTATGTGACTGCTATTGTGACGTCATAAATGATGTCCAAATTTGGCTTCAGAATAAAAATTCAGGAAAGAAAAGTTAAAAGTTTTATATTAGTTTTCTGTGTAGAAATCTATGATTTCTGGTGAAAACCCCATTGCAATCGGATAAAAAGACGTTACAGCTAATTAAAGAAATTCAAATTTACCGCCAAATGACCATATATGGTCAAAATAAGGGGTATTTTAAACGCGAGAAAAATGAATGTATTGGCGCAGGAGCAAGAACAAAGTTACATAAAATCAAATTTGTAATTTTATCTACTTAGTGTATGTGGTGCTATGACGCGTTTTTCGTCACAAAATACGTCATAGAACGTCATAATGACGGGTTAGGTATTTGTTTTGCAACCGAAAGTATCGCTTAGCTTTCTCATCGTCCCGAAGATCGTTTCGATCGTTTCTTGCATAGCTGGAAAAAGCGGAAGAGGCGAAAGATTTTGCTTTAGATATTCGAAGCTCTGGAGGAATATTTTCTTAAAACCCTGTTTGGTTAAAGCCTTCCTTACTGGGCAGGACATTTGTTCGCAGTCGACAATTATCTTGGGTAATAGTTTTCATATCAATCAGCTGATAGCCAAAAGGTCTTTATACAGCCTCTTCGTACTGATTTAAAAAGAAATCAGTTTTCCCGGGATACATTTGCTTGGCCATAGTCAAGACTTGCAATTTGTCTCGTGGATTCTTGAATAACACCAAATAATGGCTGTTTTGGCTTATGGTGCGATTACCTTTTCTCTGATAAAATAGATTCTGCACGATATAAATCACGCTAAGATTGCGATAATGAGAACCACGAGTAAAGAGGGTCACAATTCGCTTGTCTTTACTTGCGTCAATCATCTGATCATCAAACACGATCAATTCCTTTTGTTCACATCAAAATAAGAATCCTGCTCCAAAACCTTGAATTACCTTGACGAATTCAATGTGTGGCATGGCCACTAGCATTTCCGTATACGCAAAATGCCATTGTGAACAACACCAAATGATTCTCTCCGGGGGAAGGTAAATTGCCTTTGAAGCTTGCTGTAATAGAGATCGAACCCATGCCGTTTTTCATGACCCGGTCATTCCGGCAATCATGGAGGTAAAAGAATGCTCGAAGCGAAACCGCTGACATTTCTGTGAAAACACAGTTGGAACTGTTTGAAATAGGGTGATACCAGCAATGCGGTGTTTAGACATCATGTGCCTTTTCATACTTCCTTTCGACTAAAGGACTTTTCGCAGACAGAACAGAACCAACTCATGTCAACTCCTCAGGAGCAGAAGGTAGAGTGAGAAAGAGGTGACATGTTGAGCTTTTACGTAGGTTTTCAGGTCATAAAATTCTATTGTTTTCCCTCCACCACCACCACATTCCTATGGTTTTCCTTCTCCACCACCACCACTGCCCCCTCCGCCACATTTCTATTGTTTTCCCTCCTTCACCACCACCACCACATTTCTATAGTTTTTTCCCTCCACCACCACCACCACATTTCTATTGTTTTCCCTCCACCACCACCACCACCACCACATTTCTATTGTTTTCTATCCTCCTCCTACTCGTTTCATTTTTGGTCTCCACGAGATTCTATAAAAGACTGCCAACTTCCATTATTAGTTCATTTGGTAGCAATGTGTCGTGTACTAAACAACAATCGTGTTTTCCTTCAGCTGTTAGCTGATTGCCCTGTTCATCAGCGCCAGTTTCTTTTAAAGACAGCCACTCCACAACAACTGCATGCACTAGTCCAAGTCTTATACACTATACTTATGGGACACATTTCCATCCCCGAAGAAATTAGGCGAATATTGCAGTCATATAAGGATGCTTTACTTGACCTGGCCAGACCAGATGTCTCCTATAAATTAAACAAAGACGCGAGCCCTTGTGCAAGAGGGTAGTGGTTTTGTTAACGACTTACTGGCCCTTGTTGTTTCAAGCTTAGGATTTCTAATGCTATAAAAGAGGTGACGCATCGCAAAGTTGATCACCAGTACTCATCAAAATGAAGAGAAAGACGTCCTTTCGACTAAAGGACTTTTTTTGAGGATTTGGTTGTTGAAGAAGAGCACGAGAGTGAACATGAAGAAAGCGAAAGTTCTGGTGATGAAAGCGAAAATGAAGAACCAAGAATAAAAGATGTTTTGAGTCATCTTTCCCGAACGGTGTCAGAAAAGCGTGCTTCTGATTTGCTGCATAGTATGGCCGCTTCCAAAGATATTCTTTTCTGGACTCCCCGCGGACAATTACTTCGAAATGAACGTATAATTCCCGTCACAAACATCGCCGAGCTAGTTGAGTATCTGTTACTCCCTCATAACAATGAAGTTACCAAGCCTCGTGCACTGAATACGTTTCGAGATGGACTTGCACAGTTAGGGATCGATAAAGGTTTAATCAAGAACAAAAAGTTGCCAAGCGATTTAATAGAAAAGGGAAAAGACTACCGAAATGCAGAAATTACGAACGAGAGTAATAAGAGTTCATCGGGTATTGAAAATCTAGAGGATCGAGAAGAAAGTGGCTTCTGAGAATGGCAGTGAAGCTGAAGACACCCAAGAGAACGACAACGACACTGAAAACGATAGTGAGGAAACAGAAAGTAATAGCTATGAAACGTCCACCCTTCACTCTGAAAATCCCTGTGAACATTGGGAGAATTCTAATGTGTACGGGACATTGATCATGAAATGTCCTAATTGCTCTTGGCACGATTCATACAAAATTTGTCCTAGATGTGATCACCAGATCCCCGAGGAGAGAAATAACATGAAAGTGATTTATTTCCATCCCTTTCAAATCTCTGTATTTTACTCTTTTTGTTATTGGTTTTCAATAAAAGATTTTTTTAAAACTGTTGCTCGTGTCTGTATTTTTTTTTTGGGGGGGGGGGGGGGGGAGGGGGGGGTTTTTTTTGGGGGGGTTTTTTTTTTTTTTTTTTAGTTTTTTTTTTTTTTTTTTTTGTTTTTTTTTAAAAAAAAAAGGGGTGTAAAAACATTTTTTTTTTAAAAGAGGGTGTTTTATTTCTCATTTTATAACTAAAAAAGCCGCCCCGCTTTTTTTTTTTTTTTTATGTCGATTTTGGGGGGGAGCGTTTATTAGTCGCGTGTTTTAATTGATCGTTGTTAAGTTATTTTAAATTGTTTTGTGGTTTTATAATAATAACTCAAGGCTGTAAAGCCAATTTGTTTGCAAATGACGGCTTGTTAACTCGCATTATTAACTGACTAACGACGCTCCGCTTTTTTTATATTTAATATCGGAATTGTTGATGAAAGCCATGGTAACAAAAAAATATATACAACCTCTATTAAATCTTTTGGTTCGATTTTTTCCCTCCAAAAGTATGCTACAGTTCAATTAATTAATTAATTAAGAAGACATCAAAAGTAGTTATTGTATTGGCAGTCAGTAAAGATCAGTTTCTCTAAATGTATGCGAAAAGATGCAACATCACGTGTATTCTTTGCGAATGCTTGCAGTCGGTTTCAGATACGAGAGATAATATATGTATAAACGAACCATGAAAGAACTTACTATTGAAAGGACTTTGTTCTACATTCAGCCCACTACTTCTAAGACTGTAAGGTGTGACACAGGGTTTAAATGAATTACCTAAGGAGATATAACATGATCCATTCTCCTTAAAAAATTTAAAGAATAAATATTGACAATGACTCCGCAGTTCTATACGTCTTAAAAAGAGACTCATAATCAGAATGTTTTCCCATGTTCATTATTGTTCGCCAACCCGTAATGATTATCATCTTCCAATTTCTTTTTGAGTGTCTTGTTAAGGCCGATAAGTAACGAATTACAATATTCAAAGTGCGACAATTCAAAGCTCTTGTAAAGGACCAATAAAGTATTTGCTGGAACTAAGCGTTTAAGGCGTCGAAGTGCAGTTAACTTAGCGTATGCTTTCTTAAGCAATATATTTATTCCTTGAAAGATAATTGATCGTCGAAGTATACTCCAAGAATCTTTAAGTGTTCTTTGAGACTGATGGAGATGCCATCAAATTCTAGGTTATAAAAGTAAGATGAGTTTCCAAGGCCGATCATCCCTTGTGTGTAGTCCCCATTGGCATGAAGGTAATTGTGGTCAAGCCACGATGAAATACTTTCCATGTCTTTATTTAAGGACTGTATTGAAGCACAATTAGGCTCTTTTCCGCCGCGTATTAGGTAGTGTCGTCTGCGTAGAAGCGGAGTGACGAGACGGCAACGTTTTCGTTCATGTCATTCATAAAGATGTTAAACAATAATGGACTAAGGAGAGTACCCTGAGGGGTACCACAGCGTAAAGGTGACCAGTTAGGGCATTAATCGTTGCATATCACCCTTTCCTTTCGGTCATGTAAATATGATCTTATAAGTTGAAGGGCTGGCTCTTGTACGCCATATGCTTTTAATTTTTGTGAGGGGCAAATTACGGCAAATGCAGTCGAAAGCCTTTGATAGATCGATGGAAGCCACAACCAGATCTTTCTTTTAATCAAGAGCGCGTCTCCAATCATGATCTGTTAATTCGATCATAGTTAATAAAGTGGAATGGCTATGATAAGCCATAGAGACTTCTTTGTTATATGTTTTTGTTAGCCTCTTTGGACCTGAGCGTGCACAACGTTCGATGGCATTCCTATCATTTTGAACTTACTGACCAATAGAAACATCGCGTTAACTTATTCAGTCAATTTCTGAACAAAAAAAAACAAAGGATTGTGCACGATCGGAGAACTTCCAGCACAAACTACAGTATCGCATTCTCGTCCCCAGGGCCTTCTTGGGGCCTGAGCACGAGGACCAGGAGGCTCAGGGGACACAGGATTTGAAGTCCTGGATTTTAGGACTTCCGGTCATTTCCGATTCAAAAGTAAGTTAGAGGATTCTCTTTTAAAAGCTTTGAATCACCTAAATTTACAATCATTGACGCTTCTGCAAGAGCGAGTGAACGCTATCAGAAACGTTGTAGAAAATAAGAAATGACCGGAAGTGCTAAAATCTAGGACTTCAAATCCTGTGTCTCCAGAACCTACTGGTCTTCCTGCTTAGGCTTCCAGGAGGCTCTGGGGACGAGAATGACAGCACCGTTGTTTTCAACTTTAATGTTTGCCGGCTTTCATAACCGGTCTCCTCTACTAACTATGATTTTATCAACGCTGTAGCGCAAGTGTGTCCCTTGAGAAAGCCCGACATATTAGGTGAGAAAGTTGATGTAAAGGAAGTGTACAGTTGATCAAACATCACTTTTTCGAAAAGCTTGTAGACTGCGGAGAGGACAAGGGGGTAATTATTTTTGTCTGTCGCTTCACCCTTTTTTGGAAAGGGGTGATTAAACAGATTGGCTAGTGGAGAGGCTATAGCTGGAGAAGATAGTTTTAAGATCATTGGCGAGGAACCATCAGGACCGGTAGATTTCTTAGCATTTATTTTTAATAAGTAATCTGTTACGTTTTCTGCAGTGATTTCCATAAAGCGAAATAAAGTTGGTACGATTTGCCCTTAATTTTTGTAACGCTCGGGTGTTTATCGAAGTCCTCTTCCGTTTTCTGTATTCTTGGGTTCACATTGGGTTCACAAAGAAGTCGGTGAATGCAATGCTGGGATTAGAAATGAGTTTCCTCCCTCGTCTAACATCTATCTATCTATCTAAGAGGTGGATATTGGTAGCTCCATCAATGTTGGATTTATTGTTTGGAAGAAGCGGTGTCATCTTTTTCCAGAATTCGCCCCAGAAATAATGTTGTTGAGGCTGCATCGATACAGAAATCTTTAACTGCGTTTCTCTTTAACGCTGTAACTTTGTTCCGTTGTTTTTTGTAGTTAACCCAGTTTAAGTTTCTTGATGAACGAAAATATATCTTATAAAGCCTATTACGTATACTGTGCAAATCTGCTTTTGACTAATCCACGGCAGTTGATTATCACGGAGCTGTACTCGTTTCACAGGTGCATGCTCGTCAAGAACCTGTTTAAAGAGACCAGACCATTGCGACCAAATATCATCAATGTTGTCATAAATGTTACAGCTGTCCCAAGGAATGTTTTTAAGATCAGAAAGAAAAGCATTCCTATCCCAATTTTACACGGATCTAAACTCTATTGTTCTTGCTTTAGGTAGGCGTGTAATGTGATAATTTTTTTTTTAACGGAGCACAACATTTTTATTGTGCCAAGTTCATGCCTACTTTATACCATAATGGTAATCCAATCATAAATGATATACAGAGATAAAACACACACACACAAAAAGACTTAAATAATGTTTTGCATCAAAACGTTACAAACCAGCAAGGTTCGCAACGTTCGCTATAAGTATCGTAGACACTTAACGCTTACTGCTGCAGTATAAATGCAACACAATCAAAATACGATTGCCTCGATTAATCATCAACGCCCATACGAATCAAATTTCACAGTCATTCTTGACTTTTTTTGAAAAAACTAGCCGTTGTCGAATGGATATATTGGGGAAACGGGTTAATGGCCGTTGCTATTGCAGAGAAGTGGTCATTGTAGAGAGGTTTAAACAATAGTCAATGTAAGGACTGTCCACTGGGACAAACAAGTGGCCGTTGTAGAGAGGTAGCCGTTGTGGAGAGGTGGCCGTTAGTGGAGAGGTGGCCGTTAGTCGGGAGGTGGCCTTTGTGAAGAGGTGGTTGTTGTGGGGAGGTGGCCGTTGTGGGGAGGTGGCCGTTGTGGAGAGGTGGCCTTTGTGGGGAGGTGGCCGTTGTGGAGAGGTGGCCGCTTTGGAGAGGTGGCCGTTGTGGGGAGGTAGCCGTTGTGGAGAGGTGGCCGTTGTGG